AAATCTTTTACAAAAAGCAGGGAACCAGTAAACTTATGCCGGATACAAAACAGCGATGAGCCTTCCCTGCATTGTGTGTCGATATACGAAACATGGCGTTAAAATTGTTGTCAAAGCCTTGATTGTGTTGTTGGGGAACCCCAATCGTATATCTTGTTCCCGTTCGTGTGGGCCCTCTAACTCTGCAATAAAAATCAAGTATAAGTGAAGCGCGAGACAAGCAAACTTCTACCTAGCGTTTACAACGAGCTCGATGCATTAAGTGAATTACAATGTACTTATACATAAAGCCGATATTCAATGTCTGTACATTACACTAAATTCTGCATGTGCTGGAACTATATATATAGCCTGTATGTTTTATACACCTCAGAAACCTATGCGTTTTTTTTCTGAATACTTCTACACTTCAACTTTTGAAGTAAAACATTTGCCTTTAAGAAAAAAAGTTTACAGCATATAGAACGAGCAGCTCAAGCGAATAAAATTGTTTTTTTTACGTTTGACCTACGTCATATACAAACAAACAAATAAACTTGTTTCAATAGCTTCTTTATATCGTTCGCAAATAGTAAAAATGCATTTTACGATGGAATTTGAATAAAGGTTGCGTGTACTCTATTGAGGTTCGCATGGTTTAAAGTGCAACCATTCAAATTAGTTTTATATTTATAAGATGTTTTAAAATTATTCTCAATTTTCGTTGATTCGTAAGATCCACTTCTGTCATTATGTTCCATCTATCAGAATTGACGCATATATAACTATATTTAAGTGACAATATTTTTATGTGACAATATTTTATGTAATTATATTTAATGTACTATAATTTGCAATGAAAACGGCTTAAATTGTGGTCGGGTTCGAGTCCAGGAGTCCCACGTGATTCTCTTTCTGATTCTCGATAACCGGCTATACCAGGATAAGAAATCAAGAAAATACTTGTTCTACCTGAAATTTATATTTTCTTTTACAAAATATTAAATTATGCAGTTCCTTTGAAGAAGCTAAGGGAAGTGTCTTTAACATATCATCGACTTTTTTGGTACTTTTTTCTATTTTAGATAAATGACATTTTACACCTCATTAGTTACCTAAGAACCACTGGGTGGCTTTACATGTTTTTTTTTTCAAAAATCACCCTACACGGAACTTATTGCAGTTGTCAATTTTTTTTTAAATTAATATTCGTTTCTTTTATATAATTTATATTCAAATAAAGGTTGCATGAATGTGCAATTGAATACAGGTACATTTATCTTTATTATAATAAATGTATCTGGAAAATGTTTACTGTGGATCCGGACCCCCTTTGGTTTTTTATTTATATAAAGTCAAAACAGTAAAATACAAGGCCTTAGCTCTTCTTATACTTATACAGCAGGTACCGCATCACAAAACTTAGCTGCAGATCTGTAGCGTTATGGTTTTGTATATTTTTCTTATGGTCAAAGACAAATATATAAAACCATAACGATACAGATCTGCAGCTACACAAAACTTATTCTCATTATTTATATATATTTCAAAAAATCAAGAAATCTTCTGTCAAAACACTGTGTTTGTCCGCTGCGCCTATCTGATTGGGTGACTGCCGAATTCTGATTCAGCGACCTCTACTGGCTCCAAAGTTTGTAAATATGAAACCGCACTGACCGAAGATCTACCTCAAAATAGAACACCTCAAATCAGAAAATTAAAGAAAACTTGTAAAACACATCCCTCAGTCTTTGAAGGTGTATTTTCAAAGTGGGTTATTTTCAAGATTGCTGTCTTGACTGCAGTTTAACTACGTGTCCATCAAGATCCAGTTTAATCCAATTAGGAAAGCAATTTATCATTGAGCTTGAATGTAGCGATGGAAATGTCATAATTTGGAGATATTTGAGTGCTTGGAAAATTGGGAAGAGAAAATGTAGCAACAATGAAAAGAAAGATTTGAGAAATGTTCGTTGAAGGTTGGGATAATTCGGTAAAAGATTAATAATCTTTTTCTAGAAATAAAAAAAATAATGACGGGAAAGAACATAGATTGAATTCGTAGCGGAACGTGTTTTACTCGTGTCAATGAGTATTTTTGACAAGAAGCGTATTAACAATAGACGATCAAAGATGCCGTTCATTTAAATTGATTATAAAAACGATACTTCCGAATTGCAGCGAGGGCAATTGAAAGAGTCATCCGGAATCCCTCGGGCCTAATTCTCAGAAGAGTTATAGAGAGCACAAAATAAAACTACAATTAGATGATTAGTTTGCAATGTCTTTTGAAGATAAATCAATGCGAATGGCATTTTTGCAATTATGAGTGGAACATGACTCCAAACAACATACATGGAATAAACAACGAGATACCGACCAATGTAACTAAACAATAGGAGAGATTAAATTGTTTATTAAAAAAAATCTTCCCGATATTAAACTTATTTTTTACATCAATTAAAAACTGGAAGTAAATAACTTAATTAATTTTTCTTCTATTTCAGACGCTTATAAATCATTTCTCCACATTAATATACTTTCTATCCCAGCATCTTTTAATCAAATAAAATAGCGTTTTACGGAACATGCTGAGGGTTAATCCTTTTTCTTCCTCATTAAGTCACTGTTCTGTAGATCCAAACTGTTTCGTAATACGAAAGCCTAATTCTGGCCTATCAAAAATGTTTTGGAATTCCGACGATGTTATTTATCATATAACATTTGTTAAAACAAATTGTATACCTTATATCATTTTTACGATTTTAGACAGTAAAAACGAAATAAAAATTCGTTAAGAGGAATTTTAAAATCTATTTTCTTAAAACATTTTTTTTAATATGAAATGTCAAATCGAATTTAACAATTTCAACAAATAATTACAAAGAATTCTATTAGTAACCATCCGAAGTATCGTTTAATTCATGTAAGAAATTTTCGAATTCGTTTAAACAAACTCAATTCGTTTTAAAATTTAAAAAAAATAGCTATTAAGTATTCAGTAATTAGCCTAAATTCGTTATAATAACAAACTCAACAAATTGACATAAGGAAATATTTTATTTCCTTCAAGACGATTCGTTGTATCGATTTCAATTTTTTTTTTTTTTTTTTTTTTTTGATAATATTATTGGTCCTGAATAGACTTTTGTATTTTTTTTTATGTTGCCATTAAAGACGTAGGTGGATTCCTGACTGCCCTTATCTGTCTGTCTGGGAAACTTGAATAATTGAACTGTACCTATATCAATGCCCATTTCAAACGTACAAAGAAGGACGATCCCGTGTCCGTTTGTTTGTCCGTTATGAAGACAACAAACACTTTTCTGGATCGTAGGCTATGTTTGCATATTTACGTATTGTACAGGTTAAAAAAAGTAAACATTTTGAGTCTCCGATGAGATTATGATCACCAGTGTCTTAAATTACCACAAATATCATATTAAAAAAAACTTTGTTGTTATGACTACTTTAAAGTATCATAACAACAAAATTTATTTTGAAATAATTACATTTGCCCTTCGGGCTTTATGGAATTTAATCTCGTGGCCAACCCGTATTTATAGCCCGATAGATGTTTTAAAATGATACCTTATTTCTTAAACAAATTTTTTGAAAAGACGCCAGTGCAAATTCGGTAAAAGCTGTAAGAAACACACAACGATCATCTTTACAAAAATTCCCCGTCAATAATTTGTATTTCTCATGTTGTTGTGGAAACAGAATTTTATTTAATTTTTTTAATGTCATGTTCTGAATATAACCATCTTGTTAATAACAGCTGGAACAAGTGAATAACTAGAATGTTCCAAAGAACGCGTGTGTCGCCTGCTTTTTATAAACCGAGGTCCCGTGTCGCAGTAGGTATACTGGCACGAAAAAGATCCTTCCCTGCTCAATGGCCCTCAGTGCCGAGTATAGGACAAAATTTGCAGCTCGCCACCGGCAAGTGGTGGAGTCTACATATGAGTAAAAAATTCTCGAGAGGGACGTTAAACAATATACAATCAGTATTTTAAAAAGTAAGTCAAAGTTCAAGTTAAAAGATCACGAAATGGATTTACAAGATATTTTACAAAAGCCTCAGAAACAAGCTATTTGAGATATATTTGAAAAAAAAATAAATCTATACCTCTAAGAGTAAGTTGTGATTGACAAGACGGACAGACAGACTCGGGTAAAGTGATCCCTAAGTGGCGTTCTGCAGGCGACACTAAATAGGGTTAGCAACAACGTGATTACATGGGTTGACTAATGCTATGAACGGCAACTTTCACAACAAAGTCACTACCGGTATGTCCAAATCTCGAATTTCTATAATATTCACATCACTATATGGCCACATTCGGGGCATTTGTATTTAAAACATTTAGTTTAGTTTAGTAATATACGCATTCCGAATTTTCTCAATCTCGGTTCTCAATAGAATGTTTACCAATTCATGTCAACCATCGGCGTTGTATTCAAAATAGTTCAATTCATAACCCTCAGAAAAAAATGTCTCCACATAACTGAACTAAAAATATTTGAAATTAAAAAACCAAATTTCGAATTTCCTCGGCATTTACATCTACATAGAGTTGAGTTTGTATGATGGTCGTATCGGAGTTGCTTGGCCTCCGCATCAGACGGGATATTAATGAATTAATGGAGATGAGATCGCTCGCTCGGCTTCCTTGCCGTCCATTAAGCTATGCCATTAGCAAATTTCGCAAATGGAACTTTCGTTAAGTGGAAGCATGCATCAACATTTTGCGGAAAGTTCTGGCATAGCTTTTGGAGGAGAGAGAGGCTTCCAATATTTCTAATGACGGCGGTAGTATTACGGAAAGTAAATAATAAATTTTGATATGTGCATTTGCTTCCATTTCTCATGTGTACATTAGATAATAATGCATTTCACCAAAATTACTTTGAACCCATCACAATTATAGGCGCTATTAAGGAGATCAAAAATGAATCGATTTTTTTTATTCTTTTGACTTTCAGTAAGCGATGGTGACGCTCCATCTTTTGAGAACAGCGAAATCGTGTTAACCAGTAAATGCATCTTGTTTGTATATGTTTAGTGCAAAATCGTGTAAAATACTAAAAGTTTGAGCGCTGTTTTGGATTCACAGGGCCCCCTAGGACTCTAACTTAATGGAAAGCTCATCTAGATATTGGCAAAATTATTTATGCCTCAATGTTAAAGGCAGACCATCAAATCTATCTTAAATATTTCACTTTCATTTGTGAAGATAAATTCATCAGTCGCAGGCAGAGGTTTCGCAAGTGGAATTCGAAAACCATTTGTTTGTAATTTTATTTTGCTGGCTACCGCATTCATGTGTTCCAAGATTTACGTGGAATATTTTCTTTAATTACAAATGTCACATGTTTATCCTGATGAAAGTTTTATCGAAAAAAAAATCTGGAAAATTGATTAAATCTTTCTTAATTTTCCGAAATTCTGAAGTTTGGAAAAGTATAACGATGAACTTCAATTTAACAAACCAAGTGTGTTTGGGTATTTTAAGAATGCCGAGTGTGTGTGATTCTTCTAGTCTTCAGTTTGTAAAAAGTCAAAAGTTTTGCCGAAGAAGCGACCGTATGCAGACCCTAGACGCCACCAGAAATAAACAAAGCCTTTGGAGGAACAACTCCCGGCAAGTTACCTGAATATCAGGTAATCAGAAAAAAACAACACACCTGAGAGACAGGTAAGGCAGATCCAGCGCCAAAAGAAGAGGGGGGGGGACAAACCGGAGATAGCTGCTTAGAATTACTTGTTACTGAGACTGAGTTACAGAAATCAATCAACCTTTTCACGGATCGAATTGAAAATTCTTGAGCTAATAATTTTGTAATTTCACCTTTAATCTGACAAACCGTTGAAATGATGCAGGGTAATTAGCTATGGTTATTATTCGATCAAATCTATGATCCCAATACTATTAGTTTATTGCGCATGAATATTTCAGGAACTACTTTCTTTGATGTCATGGCGTCAGAGAATATTATCTTTCTCTTTGCAATATTATGTTGAAGGGTTTCATTCAGCCACGTTATTTAGAGTAGTACACTGTGTGATATTATGATATAAAAGTTCAAGATGCAAATATGTACAATTTGAGCTATATCGAATAGAATTTTACACAAAAATTACGCTTTGAATATTTCTTTGGAGTTCCTGACCAACTTCCTAGATGTAATTTTCAATAGAAAAAATGTTAAGGAAATATGTAAGTCCTTGTTTAACATAATTCGGAAGAAAAGTTTTAAATGTTATTAAAAAAAAAAAAAAGTTTGTTATTATATTTTATGATCTCAAAAATACCTTTCTAATAATGTGGCGTATATAAATATATGATATGGTTTCGAAATTCATTTATGAAAAGTACTCAAAATGAATATTAGTTTTTAAAAAAAATGATCAAATTATTGAATATTGCTTTATTTAGATTTATTTTAATTTAGGAGGGTTTAAAGTATTAATGTATGGGACTGAATAGTGAAAAAAATAAATAATTCAACAATGGCCAAATTTTGCCTTCATTTCAATTCCTAATTATAACGACTTTTGAAACAATCAGGGAATCAGATTTTTTTTTATTTATTGGTCAAGTATTGATACAGTAGATTGTTGAGCATAAAAAGGAAGAATGAATACTGATCCTAAATTTATTCCTTCGACGGAAAATTAGCCATTGTTCAAATCACATTGGACATCCAGGCAATAATTACATGATGCAATCGAACTTATGATAGAGTAATTCGAAAATTATTATCATTCTTAAAAATCTGTAAACGATTGGCTTATTGGCATTGTCGCCAAACAGGAGCAGCAATGGACATCTGTTTATTATCGTCAAAACAGGTTCATCATGATCGTATTATTTGTCTGAAGTGTCTTTTAAGATTATAGAAACATCGAAATCGAGAAAAAGCCATTACGTGGGCCTTCAGTCCACCTTCTGCCTGGCAGGGAGTCCATATTGAATACCTTTTATGATTTCCAATACAGGAGAGTTCCTGTCGTAACAATCTGAGATAACAAAGCACGGTGTTTCCGATAAGTGGAAGATTCTCACCTGGCTTATTGAAGTGCGCCGGAAACAAAGAAAATAATAAATACCTTTGTAGAATTTAGATGTAAAAAATGATAATGACACCTGGAAAAAAAATGCTTTTTGTGATAACATAATACTGCATTTAATAAATAGGAAGTTGTTCTTTTCTTTGATAAGACAAGGAGAAAATATAGCTGTCTAAAATGAATATTTATGATAAAAAAAATATTTCATCTAAAAGAAAACGATTCGAAACGATAGATTTCGAAAAATTATATGCTTTATTCAGTTTTTTTTCCTTTGTTTTTGTTTTTGTTTTTTGTTTTGTTTTGTTTTTAGAAATGAATCTTTTTTCCCTGCAGTTTAAGATATTTTTAGTCCATCTAGCGTAAAAGTCACACTATACAATACAAAGTATCAGTGCGAAATCTGAAAGTAATCTATTTTTATTTTGAATTGACATTGCTGCTTTATAATGCACAATCTCTAAAGGATAATGCTTTGATAATATTTTTATAAAGCCAAACAAACAAATTGACCCTGTTTAGTTCAAAGAAAATAGTTTTCCTCGTGTGTTTCTTAAACTTTTATTTTTTTCCCAGGGAAGACAGAAAGTTACAGATAAGAACTAGATTATGATAAATACCTTAATGAAGTTGCTGGTAATTATCATGACAGTTTTGCATGAATATTTCAAACAAAAATTATCACAGCTAAAGCGAGACGCACCAGTTAATATTAACCGGAAGTAGGTCCCGGATTTTGTGCGGACCTGCAACATCCCGGTCTCAGTTCAATTTCCTTCTGCTAGAGCGAGGCTTGTTAGATGGGGATGATTTACGACATGTTTGCATGTTTAACTGGGGCTCTAGATCAGGAGCAACGTGAAATATCCCTGAAAAATTCTAAGTACTTCCCGTGGGTTGAATGCCGCCATAGTTATAGATGAGGGAAGAATTTTATAACAGGACATAAAATTAATGCTGCCGCTATCAAGTTTCTTTTGTTTTATTTATTATCAATATTTATTTGCTTTGTTTAATTTTTTTCTTTTTCTTTACATTTTGATTCCCCTTTTTAATGGTCTCACATGTTTTTTCTGGGTAAAAATTACATTCGCGGTTTACTTTGTTAAAACTAACTTGAAGCATATTTTAAAGAAAAAATAATAACAGGTTTACAATATGTAAACAAATAAGATAATGGGGTTTAAAAACGAAATAGATAGACTTGCGTGTTATTTTAAATATTTTTTTTAAAACCTAACTTGAATCCAAAACAATCCACATATTATCCTAAATCTGAGATAAGTACCAATTGTCGCAAAAAATATTTTTTCTTTCCGAATTTTTAAAATGAAAGTTCAGTTGTCGCCATGAAATACAAGTGTAAAATCCCCCGAGATGTAGCGCATGCGCCACTGAGCCCGGAGACAAAAATCTGTCAAACGACACACTGAGAAATGAATTTTGATATTTTCATGATATTAAAATGTTAATTGAAATCCAATCTGACCAGCAAGGCGAACGGGCAAAACGCATCAATGACATATCCTTATCGTCACTGCCATCAGCCTTGTCTCCTTCATAGAACCGAGACAAACTAATGATGCAGAATCTTTATTGTTTTATGCGATCCGCCATGGTCTCTTGGGGCCGCTTAGGTAGTGTGATATAAAAAGGTCGGATATGATTTGAAAATGTTAAGATGAATTTGACCATCTGTCGAACGCCCCTTAAAAGTCTCTCTTATTTCAGTTGCAGAGGACTATTTTGATTAGTCATTTTAAAGAGGTGTTGAAGCATTTAGATAACGATTGGATTCAATTGGTTGATGCCAGGGAGTGAATCTCTTTTTAAAATATTGTGTTTAAAATTTAAAAATAAATAAATAAACAGTGTAACTATACACAGGTTTCAAGACTAATTTAATAGCTTTAAAACCGAAAAAAAATATTCCAAATAATGTTCTATAAATAGTATAATTTTATCTTTTTGTAATAAATAATTTATAAAACATATACATACATTAGTATTTCATTCCGTGGACGGAAAAGAAAAACCCATAACTAGAAATTAAAAAAAAAGTAATTAAGAGCTCTATAAGGATTAAGAGTCACTCGTGCGTGTTCGATGTTCTGTTGTTAGTTAACTACATGTATTACCTCCCCCTGAAAGCTCTCCAGGACGGTAAGGTCGCGTGAGACCCCACTAAACAGAGGGTTGTTTTATCAAAAAATTGTTTTCCGATATAGATTGATTAAGCATATACATACATTATTTCAGATCTGTAAAGTTTTAGTTAAAATCTTTTTCCGTAAAAAAAATATAATATAAATTAATATATTGAATGCTATATCATAATATCTCAAAAACTAAAGCCTAGTTCATTGGTATGCTTAGCTTTCAAAATATCGATTATTGCATACAATTTGGATGAAGATTTTATTTTCATCAAAACAGTATTTATTATGTAATTAATACATATTCATTAAATAACACTCTGAAATCAACCTTCTGAAGACTACTTAAATATCAGCATTAGATAAAAAAAAAAAACTTCCATCATAAAGTGAACGCATCGTATCAGTCATAAACTTCTTCGTTAAAAGCAAAAAAGTGTGAGTAGCAGCCAACAAGTAAGGCGTTATGTTTTCCTTTTCAAAGACTACAAGAATAGCTGCAATTTGCACAAATAAAAACCTAACACTACAACGACGAGACAGCAGTATGTGCAGAGGTGTGGGTCTTATCAGTGAGAGATAGTATAACGGTTCCTGTGAATCAGTGTTTGCAGCCTGTGCTGGACTGATGCTCGTGTGATGTAAGGGGCCCTAGTTACGAGGGAATGGCAGATAGTCCAAGCATACCCTGGTCATCTAATCTCGCGCAAATCTCGCAGACAAGAGTTTGCAAGATGTCAAACCATCTGCTTGTCTGAAAAAAAAAATCATATTTATGAAATTTGATAAGGTGCAGAGTTCCCAAGAGAGAGAGAGAGAGAAACGGAGAGAGAGAAAGAGAAAGGAACAATTTCATGTCGGTCAAACAGACAAATAGTTATTAATGCTTTGGACATTCAGACAAATATGGGTTCAAGAACGATCTCATCTCCGCAAACATAGGACAGCTTCTGTCAATTGACCCCTGACCTTTGCCTCAGTCTCACGGCCAAATCAAACATGCAGTCGTGGACCTGCAAGCTCTCAGGCAGACAACACCGAAATCAATTTCCGCATAAAAATGGAATTTCTTAAAATCTAGATCGGAGTGTAAACATGATCTGTCTATTTGATGACGTTTTCTAAGACATGGTGATGGTATGTAATTAAAAGAAGACAGTTGGGGAAATAGCCGAATTATCGAAGATTTGTTTTGAAAATTGGACAAACACAAAACTGACTGCAAATAATTTAGATAATGAAATCTATAAATTGTCATAAATATTCGGTTTTTTCTCGTGATGTTAAGCCTGTTATAAAGCTGATCTTTTATCAGTAGAGCCTCCTCCACTTTGTCTATAGCAGTTATATAAATATACTATATAATCACAAGCATTTACTTTTTAAACTTTGGCACATGCAATACACCGATAGATTTTCCAAGAATTTGTTTATCATATTTATTGTGTAGCTGATAGATATGGAGGAA